ACTTTTTTCTCACATTTGTTTGCTGACTAAAATTCTGCCGTGTCGTCTTGTTGTACTTGTATTGCAGGAGCTCGGGTCCGTGAGCCCCGCACAGCTGGCCGGTTCTCCATCCCTCTCCGTCGGTGTGGACCTGCTGACGTCACTCTTCAACGACGAAGACGCCGCAATCCGGTAGGCACTACTGCTGTCTGCTGCTCTCTGTGTTTCTTTAGTTTTTGCTGCCTTGCGTGTTTTATGGGATGTCGGGATGTGCAGACTTTGGTATGTTCCGCCGTCCCCCCATGTACAAGTATGTGTGTGCTTGTTCAGACATCCTCTCACGAACAAGCATGTGTTTTTAACTTCTCTGTCGTGTTTATTTACATATTCAGAGGACGTCTGGACAGGTTGTATGGTTCAGAAGATGTTGCTTGCAGCGATTTCCTACCAAAGCAACACCAAAATCGACTAGCATGTTGTAATCCGTCTTTGTGGCTTGTCTACATGGTGTTGCGAAAGAGACGCACACGCTCCATAATTGATTTTGAGATGCGATAGACAAATGCCCGCACATGGACTTCTTGTGCCTGTTGCAACGAAAAAATGATGAAATTCGAACGGAGATACTCACGTCTTTGGATAGAACGTTGCAGTCGAATAGCCCGCTTTCGAACCATGCTGCCTTGAAAAAAAAAAATAATTATTTTGAAGGCCGCAGGGACGGAAACGCGGCGTTCGAGTGCAACGCTGCAGCAAAAGACGCTATAATAGTGTAGCTGTTCCGCCTCATGTTTGACTTTACCCGTCCGTTGGCACGGAAACCGAAACCATATGTATGTACGTGTGGAAAACGCAGGTACACAATGTTGGTCCCTGTTTAGTGCAGGTACACAATGTTGGTCCCTGTTTAGTGCCGGTACACAATGTTGGTCCCTGTTTAGTGCCGGTATGTGCCTAGGAAACTCGCCGGCACAATACCGGACACCGGCCCCATTCAACCGGCATTAAACAGGGACCTATACTGCTGACGTCTTTGACCATGGCGTTGCAATCGAACGTCGCTTTCTCCTCCCCTCCGGCCTTAAATTATAATAAAAAATATCAGTTGAATTTATATTTTTTGACATTTTTTTAAATTTTATTTTTGAAAATGGTGCACGTATGGAGAACGCTGCGTTCGACTGCAACGCTGCAGTCAAAGACGTCACTGTCCCCCTTCCTCCTCAACTTTCATCGTTTTCTTGGTTGCAACAGGAGCATGAATCGATGCGGGTCTGCACGTACTTGTCGAATACGTATTATCGCTACTCACGGCTTTTGTCTGCGGCGTGGCCGTCGAAAAGGGCACTTTCGATCCGTGTTGCCGTCCCGAAATGTTTTTTTTTTGAGACGGCCGCACTTTCGCCTGCAACGCTGCCGCAAAAGGCTTGAGTGGCTGCGTCCCCCGCGTCATGTTTCATCTTTTTGTTCAATGGTGCAACAGGAACATAAATCGGTGTGTTGTGTTGATATATAGCTCCGCCAAGTTGGCTTGTCCTACTCTACTTCTGTCAGTTATTGCCGGAACCAGCAGTTGGCGGCGCGTCATTCATGAAAGCAACTTTCCTCTGTGAGTCCTGAACTTTTTT